TTTATTGTCCAAATTATAAATCTTATCATCAACTTCCTCCATTTTAGACTCTAATAACTTGATATTTGTATCCATCTTTATAACTATTTCTGAAAAAGCATTAGTCACTGTTACAATCTTTCGTTGCAAATTATCATACTTTAGTTGTATCAATTCTTTAATTTCCTGCCTAAATTTTTCAAAATTCTGGTTCACAGTCTCGTGATATCTTGCCATTTCCTCCAGGACAAATTCTTTTAAATTAAAGCCATTCTTCTGAGTCTGTAAGCTCGAAACTTGTTCACATAATTGTGAATGGGGGAACACTCCCCCCGCTGCTTGTTTGTCAGGCTTTATTAGTTTTAACGCCATCCTGCTACACAGACGAACTCTTTTTAAAGAAAGAAAACTTCTCCCCAAACAAGATCAATATCAAATCTCCAAAAAAACCCCACCTTAAAATAGAATAGATATTTTTCTTCTAGATTCTAGCCAGCACTGTTTATTCTGCTACTTTGTAGCTTGTTACGGAAGGACTTTCGCTTTCAGCTTTCTTCTTCTTCTCAAGCCTCAGCAGTCGCCATTTTAAACTTTTTTTCCCTTCACTTAAAAACGCTTGTAAAATCGTTAAAAATACTTGCGATTTAGGGTCCCAAGTCCAAATCTCGTCCTCTTTAATTAAACCATGTTGATTTTTGTTAAAAGGCTTGATCATGTCGCCTGGCTCTGCAAAAGGCAGAGGTCTCCCGAAGCCCGGAGCAGCGGCGAAGGAAATAGGGAGCCTCATCCTGCTTCGTCCCCAAGAGTAAAAGAAAAACTCTGGGGACTTCGCAGAGGGCTCTACCTGCCCTCGCCTGCTCTATCTCACATTTCCTTATGGAAATGGAGTTTTTTGAGCTGCCTTTCAGCTGTGAAGGCGGCTCTTTACGGGCGACGGGGCTGGCGGTCCCAAGGGACCGTCTGACAGCGATGGAAGCCAAACCACGCAACCATCATTAATACGAGTAAGTTGCCAAGCATCTGAATTTTGATCCCGGGACCATGGGGGATGCTGCAATGGTTGTAAGTGTGCAAAATGGTCACAAGTTACATTTTTCAAAGCTGTTGTAACTTTGGTCACTAAATGAACCATTGTAAATCGAGGACTACTTGTATTTCTGTCTTTTATTATGCTGCATGCTTATGTTGATGTGCAACAATTTTAACATCCCAAATGGGGATTTTCCTACGTTTTTTCAGCGTCACAATATTGTACTCTCATTGTAATCGTTCTAGAATGAGAATTTTTAATTTCTAGTATTCTAGAGTATTGTACTCTCATAGCCATTTCTCACACTTGTCAGAAAGTTTGTTTGCTTTGCTAGTTATACACCATTAAGCAGATAAGAGGCAAAAAACCACATGGTGCATATTTTTGTGAAACACAATACCCATATTTACCTTATCATGACTTGATTTATATCCAGCTACAAAGTCATTTGACACCTGTCCTGCATTCAATCATCTGTAATTTGAGTCTTTTCTGTTCCTGTAGATATAGTTTGTATCTGATGCCGGGAGGGACCCTTTCAGCTTGGAAATGTTACTTTGTGCAACTGAGCAGGTTCTACACACCCTTACACATAATTGCTGGTATAGTTCTCGACTTACAACAGTTCATCTAGTGACTGTTCAAAGTTAAAATGGCACTGAAAAAAGTGACCTATGACCATTATTCACACTTATGACCGTTGCAGCATCCCCTTGGTCACGTGATCCAAATTCAGCCACTTGGCCACTGACTCATATTTATGACGGTTGCGGTGTCCTGGGGTCATGTGATCCCCTTTTGTGACCTTCTGACAAACAAAGTCAATGGGGTAAGTCAGATTCACTTAACAACCATGTGACTAAACTAACACTTGCAGTGATTCACTGAACAGCTGTGGCAAGAAAGGTCATAAAACGGGGCAAAATTTACTTAGCAATATAAATTTTGGGCTCAATTGCGGTTGGACGTCGAGGACTACTTGTATTTGGAGACCAATGTTGGTTATCTTAGTAGACAAATGGACTGGGATCAACATTGTGGTACTACAGTTGAGAAAAGAGGAATTGTAAATTACAAGTTTGCTCTGCAACGTCAATACTTCTTAGTACAGTAATATATCCATGCTATTTCTATTTTTAAAGTCCAGAACAGCGAGATAACATTTGGAAGTGGCTCAGAGACACTTTCTTCATTCATTGGATCATAATTGATTCATTCCCCCAGAGATTAGAATGGCCCCCACTCTTAACACTCTTCCGGAAGGCACTGAAGACCTGGTTCTGCCAGCGGGCCTGGGGAATCCAGAGCGGGATGGAGCCCATTAAATGGCTCATGTGAACTGCTGACGCCAGGACAGGGGGTGGGAGGTAGGGGGTGATTTTGTTATATTGTACTATATTAATTTATTTGATTCTTTTTGTTAGATTTTATTGTTTTAAATGTGGTCTTATATTCTGTAAGCCGCCTTGAGTCGCCATGGGCGAATAGCAGGGGTGAAATCTACTTACCTTCATTACGGTTTGGAAGTGCACGCGCTGTGTGCAGACCTTCTGCGTATGCGCAAAGCCTTCTGCACATGTGCAAAACCTGCGCATACGCAGAAGGTAAAAAACACATTACTTTCTGGTTAAAACCAGGAAGTAATGACACCTGGGTGGGTGGGCGGAGCTTTGCTCCGCCATTGGTACTGGATCGCCAAATCAACAGCCAAGATTGCTACCGGACCGGGCAATCCAGTCTGATCCGTGAGCATTTCACCCCTGGCGAATAGGCGGCAATATAAATTCAATAAATACATAAATAAAAATAAGAAGGGATGGGAGACAGAGATGGGAGGGATCTTGGAGGTCTTCTAGTCCAACCCCCTGCATAATCAGACTTGCAAGATTCTGTTATTACAGCCATCTCAACAAAGGCCTCATTTTGATACTTGCATTCCAGAATATATTTGTGTTCTCGACAAAAGGAAAATAATGCACATCTGAGATTGATTTAAAAACTAATTATTGTGCATCCGAGCAGGCAATGAAACAGACATAGCTTTGTTATCCTCTCTGCAAATCCAAATGGCCTATTTTACTGGCCGCTGGAGAATGGTGTTCTCCATTTCCAGATGTGGAAGCCTGCCCCAATGTGCTGCAGCTGCCAAAAAAGCCAGTGCAAGTCCTAGGCTACATGAACAGAGGGATAGTATTAAGATCATGAGAAGTGATAGTACCTCTTTATACTGCACTGGTGAGATCATACTTGGAATAGTGCATCCAGTTTTGGTCTTCCGATATAAAAAAAGATAAGAGACCCTGGAAAGTGTGCAAAGAAGAGCAACAAAGATGATTAAAGGATTGGAGATTGAATCGTATGATGAACAGCTGAGGGAACTGGGTATGTAGTTTATGAAAAGAATATTTATAGGGACATGATGACTGTCTTCCAGTACTTGAGAGGTTGTCATAGAAAAAAGGGGATTGTTTTATTCTCCAAAGCATCTGAGGTAGTGGTGAAATGTAAAATTTGTTACTACTGGTTCTGTGGGCGTGGCTTGGGGGGGGGCTAATGTCATTGGGTGGGCATGGCCAACTTTAAAAAAAACTTTTTTAAAGCATTTTTTTACAAACTATTTGGGCGAATATTGTAAAAAATGCTTTTAAAAGGTAAAGAAAAGGCTTTGACAATCGCGTGTCACAGCTGTGATTGTCAGAGCCTTTTTAAAAACCTTTTAAAAGCATTTGTTTTTTCCTTGGCAAAGACGTTTCATTTCTCATCCAAGAAGTTTCTTTAGTTCTGACTAGATGGTGGAAGGGGATGGAAGGATTATTTCCGATTGGTTCATTAGTTCATCCAGTCAGAACTAATCCTTCCATCCGTCCCCCACCATCAGTGGGAGCTTCTTAAATGAGAAGCAAAACATTTTAAAGGAAAAACAAAGTCCAGTTGCCTTTGGAAAAAGTACCTTTGTGACAACCATGACTGAGAATCTCCACAGACGTTTAATCAGTGGAATGGCTTGAAGACTCCTGGAGTTGTGGATGCTCCATCAATGGAGGTTTTCAAGAAGAGATTGGACAGCCATTGAGATAGTGTAAGTCTCCTGCCTTGAACAAGGGGCTGGACTAGAAGACCTCCAAGGTCCCTTCTGGCTCTATGATTCTATGTTCCATGTTCTAAATATACTTCTCAACCTCACTAGCCAGAAAGAGAACCAGGTACTGGTTGTAGCAAAGCAGGACTTGACGATGACTTTGAAAGATGGCTAGATTTGCAGGCTTAATTCCCTTTTCCTGAAAGGGCAGAGCCAACCCTTTTGAAGATCTCAGGTACCTGAATTCAAAGTTTTAGTTGTCATCTTTCATCTCAGGTGGCTGATCTCCAGGCTTGGGAAAGTGGTGGGTGAAGAGGGACAGCCACTTCTTTGACCAGTTGGGAAAAAGTAGAGCCAGCAAGATAGGTCCAACCACATTGATCTGAGTTCTTTCAAGGTATCAACAATTATGGGATGGAAACGACTGTTGATATTGCTTCTGACGACGCTCATCCAAGTTTCTTGAGTGAGTTGAGTCATCATAGGAGTGCAGAGGAGGTCCTGAGGGGCTGGTGCCTGGTTTACTAATGGAAAACTACAGACCAGGTAAAATTGGCAATTTTCACAGGAAATAAGATAGAAGCCAGAAAGAAAATGTATTTTGCCATGAAGCAGGTAATCAATCTGTGGAAGATGATGCCACAATATGTGGTGTTCACAGCGGCCTTTAAGAGTAGTTTACATGATAGCAGTGTTCCAATATTTGAGAGGCTGTCACAGAGAAGAGGGGGTTCAACCTATTCTCCAAAGCACCTGAAGGCAGGACAAGAAGTAACAGATGGAAACTAACCAAGGAGAGGAGCAACCTGGAATTAAGGAGAAACTTCCTGACAGCGAGGACAATTAACCAGTGGAAAGCTTGCCTTCAGAAGTTGTGGGTGCTCCATCACTGGAGGTTTTTAAGACAAAATTGGACAGCCACTTGTTTGAAATGGTAATCTGTTTGAACAGGGCATCGGGCTACAAAACCTCTAAGACCCCTTCCAACTGTTATTGTTGTCTCTCTTTCCCCTTCCCTCCTCATTCCCTCCCTCCCTCCCTCTCCCACCCCCCCAGTTGCGGCCTCCTCCAAAGATCTGCACTGCCTGCCTTCCCTCAGCAGCAACAGGAGGGTTTCCTTCCATTCTTTCTCTGAACTTCCTTTTAATTCCTCACTGCATGAAGTTTATTTACTCAGGCTCTCCCTCTGTCACACATGCTATCTATCCTCACTGAATATCTCTTGATTTCCCATCCCTCATCGTGTTTCTTTTCCTGCCAATTCTCCTGGCTGCAGTTTTTTTGTCTGAGAGAAACCCATAACTCACAGGAGTACGGCAGGGGAAGAAAAACAAGACTGCTGGCCAGTCCATTCGTTTTTCTGATGTGAACAAGGAGCGAGCAGAGAAAGCTGTTATTTTTTTCCCCCCTCAGTCCCAAATTCCAATAAATATCCCAGTGCAACAGGAGGATTTTCAGACGGCTAACAAAAACAACAATTGGCTGCTCTCACACACTCCTCCTGATGTTCCCATCCTCAGAAGCAGATTGAAGTTGGTGAAATAGCCACAAACAGGGCATGCAACCCATCCCTAAAAATTGCATGTGCTTTATCCTGACAGATAGGTTGAACCAAGGCACTATAAAGGCTCTCGGGAACTCTTCAGAGACTTATTAAGCCAGCCCTTTTAAACGCAGAGCAACAGTTCAAAGGTTAGAAGGCAGTCTTTACAACTCAAAAGTCCCTTCGTGGATGCAGTTACAGCAACGGGGCTGAAGGATAAAACTAAATACTTGTTTCTCCAGGAAATTAGAAAGTGAAAACGGATTATATGACTACCGGTAGAAGACACTGAGAAAGGTGCCAACCGTGGTAATTTCATGGCAGGGATTTACCTGGTGATATTGGGGAATTTGGCTGATTTCAAATAGGTAACGAAGGGGTTTTTTTTTGCCTTTCTAGAAGAAGACAATGCTCTCAAGCTGGGTGATGTTGCTTACTTGGATGGTTTTCCTGAAAGAGTTTTCCGTAGCGCAGGATTCGGCTCTAGAAGAAGCCTGGAGAGACTGGAAGAAGACCTATGAGAAAGTGTACACTGATGTGAGTTTGCTTTGTTCTGAAAGAGATAAATGTCTAATTCATGTTTCAGTAATTCTAAGACATCAATTTAGTGCTTCTAAGATTCTTCTCCTTCTCCTCCCTCCTTCTTTCTGCTTCTCCTCCTCTTTTTAAAGAAAGTTCCAATGGCACCCAAAGAGATGCGGTGCAAACTTGCTCTTTGAAGGTACAAACTTACTTTTTGAAGGACTGTCTTCCATTTTCCTACATCTTTTTCTAGATTTTTGTGGCCTTTGTTCAGGGTCCTACAATTCTATTTTAACACATGCTCCGAACTAGAGTATATAGAGGTTGGTACCAGGGGTGGGTTCTACTTACCTTTACTACTGGTTCGCAATAGGAGTGTGCGCTGATCACCCATAATGACGTTGTGGTGAGTGGGTGGAGCCTCCCGCTGGTTTTACTACCGGTTCTATAGAACCGGACCAAACCGGGAGCAACCCATCACTGGTTGGTACTCATCTTAAACCCAGATTATTAGAGCAGGGGAAAACATTCAATATGTACTCAGAGGCCTTCTACTCTCCTGCTGAACACCAATCTCACCACCATCGGGAGAAAGGAGTACTATGTATGTTCACCACCTTGAGTTCTAAAATAAAAGGCTGGATAAAAATCAAATAAATCAGATCCATTTTGAGAAGCTAAGATTTAAGCTGTTCTTCAATCCACAAATGATGCTTTGAGATAGGAGAGAATATACCATGTCTAATTTGGTTCCCTTAGGAGGAAGAGGCCTCCCGGAGAGCCACATGGGAGAAGAATCTGCAGATGGTTGAGCAGCACAACCGTGAGGCCGATGAGGGAAAACACACCTTTTGGGTGAACATGAACCAGTTTAGTGATTTGGTAAGCAAACTCGGGAGTATACCCTGATTCAGAGTTCATACATGTTGAAGGAAAATCTTCATACAATCAGAATAGAGCTGGAAGGGACCTTGGAGGTCTTCTAGTCCAGCCCCCTGCTCAAACAGGAGACCCTATACCATTTCAGACAGGTGGCTGTCCAGTCTCTCCTTAAAAATCTTCAGTGTTGTAGCACCCACAACTTCTGGTGGTAAGCTGTTCCACTGGTTAATTGTCCTCACTGTTAGGAAGTGTCTCCTCAATTCCAGGTTGCTTCTCTCCTTGATTAGTTTCCATCCATTGTTTGCTGTCCTGCCCTCTGATGCTTTGGAAAATAAATTCACCCCCTTCTCTTTGTGGAAGCCTCTCAAATACTGGAATGCTGCTATCATATCCCACCCCTTATCCTTCTTTTCTCTAGACTAGCCAGACCCAAATCCTGCAACTGTTTTTCATATGTTTTAATCTCCAGGCCTTTAATAATCTTAGTTGCTCTTCTTTGTACTTTTTCCAAAGGCTCAACATCTTTTTTGTAATGTGTTGACTAAAACTGGATGCCGTATTCTAGGAGTGGCCTTACTAAGGTTTTAGAAAACGGTAGTAATACTTTTATTTTATTTTTTTATTTTTGGATTTATATACCGCTCTACTCCTGAAGGACTCAGGGCGGTGAACAGCCAAAAAGATAAAAAACACAAATTACAAAATTTAGAAGACAATATAAAAACCCATTAAATAATTTGGCCCAAAACAAATTAAAACACCCCTAATGTTTTAAAATGTTTATAATGTTTAATACTTCATATTAGCATGCATCCATTGCTATTTAGAAGCAGGTGTGTCCCGTCCCTCCCAAATGGGTGAACGCTTGAGTTGGAAGATTAAGTAGCAGCATAAAGATTGCAGGTCCTTGACAGAATGGAAGGGACCTTGGAGGTCTTCTGGTCCAACTTCCTGCTCAGGCAGGAAATCCTATGTCATTTCAGACAAATGGTTGTACAATATCTTCTTGAAAACTTCCACTGTTGGAGCATTCACAACTTCTGGAGGCAAGTTGTTCCAATGATTGTGCTGACTGTCTTGGGAATTTCTCCTTAGTTCTAGGTTGGTTCTCTCCTTGATTAGTTTCCATTCTTTGCTTCTTGTCCTGCCTTCAGGTGCTTTGGAGAACAGGTCGACATCCTTTTCGTTGTGGCGCTTCAAATATTGGAAGACTGCTATCATGTCACCCCGAGTCCTTTTCATTAAACTAGACCTACCCAATTCCAGCAATATGTTTTAGTCTCCAGTCCCTTAATCATCTTTGTTGCTCTTCTCTGCACTCTTTCCTTGTCCTGCCTCTTTTGACTGTTCTGTGCTGAATAGGGTTTTCTTAATTTGTCTGATGTGACAAGCAAGATGATTCGAACCTTCTGGCTTTGATGCTCTCCCTGCTTTGCGGATCACCAGCCAGAAAGGACAACATCTGACAGTGGTATTTCAGCAAGAATGGGATAAGTGTGGCTGCATATTTTTTCTGGCTCTTCTCTTTCTTTGTTCCTTCTCTTATACTTACACCCTGTTTGGTCGTAATTCAAGCCGAGTTGTTCTTTTTAAACAAACAGGAGCCATGAAGGGATCTGACTCACATGTTTTAGTCATTTCCTTTCGTTCCTTGTTTATTTATTAAAATCCTGCCATTTATCTGGAGCTCAAAGCTCTATTTGCAGTTCTCCATCTTCCCGTTTTCCCCCACACAAATCTCATGATATAGGTCAGGCTGAGTGACTTGTGTTCATCCAGGGAGACCCGAGTGTCTATTTCCAGATTCCTCTATGCAATTTTTGGGATGTAACTGACAGGGATGTGCACGTGTCCAGTGTTTATTTCAGCCTTGAACTCCCATCCTGTTATCTGAGCATTCTAGCCCTGTTTCACTATTCTGCTAGACAAACTTTTCTTGCTCATAAACAAGTTTGAAGGGGAGATTAAAATGGCAGGATACAATAATGTTCAGACTAGAGAAGAGGAGTGGGTCCACATCAGCCTGAAAAAGGTAATAGGCATCATTCTGATCACTCTCACTGTCCAATTTGTAAAATCAAATGTAATGACCTCAGAGAGGCAGACATGTAAACAAGCAATTACAACAAGCCTGAAGTGCCTGGGATCACGTCTTGTGGTCAGAGACATTTACAATTTCCTGGATTCGGCTTGCCAAATCTTGTCTTTTGCAGGAGTTGAGACAAAAATGACTGAAGGAGTCTGCAGGGATCAGGCAAATATGCCACACAAGTATGCCTCAATCAATTCAATCAGAATAGAGCTGGAAGGGACCTTGGAGGTCTTCTAGTCCAACACACTGCTCAAGCAGGAGACCCAGTACAATTTGAGACAAGTGGCTGTCCAATCTCTTCTTAAAAGCTTCCAGTGATGAAGCACCCACAACTTCTGGAGGGAAGCTGTTCCGCTGGCTAATTATTCTCACTGTTAGGAAGTTTCTCTTTAATTCCAAGTTGCTTCTCTCCTTGATTAGTTTCCATCCATTGTTCTCGTCTTGCCTTCGGGTGCTTTGGAGAATAAGTTGACCATCTTTTCTTTGTGGTAGCCCCTCAAATACTGAAACATTGCTCTCATGTTATCCCCTAGTTCTTCTTTTCTCTAGACTAGCCATACCCACTTCCTGCAAGTTGCTCTTCTCTGCACTTTTTCCAAAGTCTCAACATCTTTTTTGTAATGTGACCAAAACTGGATGCTGTATTCCAGGTGTGATCTTACTAAGGTTTTATAAAGTGGTACTTTTAAGCCCTAGAAAGCCTCCTTTTAAGCAAAAGGTAATGTAACTTCATTCTTCTCTCAGACCGATGAAGAATTGAAACACATGATGGGAGGTCTTCTTCCTGAGACAGTTGATCCTGACAATGCTTCTCAAGGCTTTCCCCAAGCACCAGACATTCAGCAGACACCCAAGCCCAAGAAATGTCATCAGAGACGTTATGGCACTTCAAGAAAAGACCAGGTGAGTCCTTGAACAGTCTTGGATAGATAGCTCACTCTAAGCCAGGGGTGTTCAATTCAAGGCCTGTGGGCCAGATCCAGCCTGCAAGGTGCTTAGATCTGGCCTGCGGGGTCGGCCTGCAAATATCAAAAGGACCAGCCTGCAGTGCCTCTGCTGGCCAAAATGGGCCACGCAAGCCCCCCCCCCCTGGACCATTTATAGCTGGCAGAGTGCTGCAGGAAGCCATGGAGGCTGAAAATGGGCCACGCAGGGGTCTCATGAGCCTCTCCTCGTAGCCTGTTTTGGCCAGCAGTGCTGCATAAACAGATCTCAGAGTTACCCCATAAAAATAATGTCGAGCTCCAGAATTCCAGGTGATCCCACCTGGGACATTCGTAAGGGAGGGGGGGAAGAGGAGGGCCTGTAGTCTTCCATAGACCAAGGCCATGGAGAAGTGGACCCTCCCAAAATTACATTCTGGCATCTCCCTTAAAGTAGGAATGGAAGAAACAAAGCCTGTCAGATGCTTTGGGAGGAGAGGTACATTTTTTTTTCCAGCAAAGTCCATCAGGGGTTTCCAGCCAGTAAGTGACTAAATTAGTATACCACTGAAATACTGTGGACATAATATACTTATATTATACTGTAAATTATTACTAATATTAAGTTCTCCTCTAGGGCTGCGTCAGAGGTACTAACAAAGATTGATAGTCTGTTGGACAGACAGTTTTTAGAGACATCTGGAGAAATTGTCAGTTCATTTATGCTCTGCTCTATACAAGAGTCAAGCTCCATTGTAGCTGGGGACTCTACTTGTCTTTAATCTCTACAATATGGAATTGAGACTATTTGTGCCAGAAAGTAAATCTCCTTTTGTCTGGAATAGCTGTTTTGAAATCAAAGGGGGAAAAATGCATCTTGAGCCTGTGTCAAACTCCTACCCCAACCACCCCCATCCCCACCCCTCCGAGGTCAAACACAAACCCTGATGTGGCCCTCAATGAAATATAGTTTGACACCCCTGCTTTAAGCCAGAGACCCTTCCTTTCATGCAGAGAATTCCAGTTTCCATTTTGAACGGGGTTCAATCCTGCAGACTCAGTTTCTCCTCAGCTGCTTTCAGTCCAGCCTTAACACAAATTACTTATCTGCTTTGGTCCTGTTTTTGGAGCAATCCACTTCACTTATGTTCCTCAAGTGGTCATCATATGTCCTTGGCCATGGTAGATATGGAGATGATGTACAGGAACTCCTCAACTTATATCCATTCATTTAGTGACCTTTGAGAAGTTACAAAAGCACTGAAAAAAGTGTCATCAGAGTTGTTATACTTTTGATGGTTGCTGCATCCCCATGGTCACGTGATCAGAACTCAGATGCTTGGCAACTGACATGTACTTATGATGGTTGAAATGTCCCGGGATCATGCGTGATCACTTTTTGTGACCTTCTGAAGCAGTTAATGGGGAAGCCAGATTCACTTAACAACCTTGTTCCTAACTTAGCAACTGCGGTTATTCACTTAATAACAATGGAAAGAAAGGCCGTAAAATGGGGCAAAACTCAACAGCTATCTTGCTTAGCCAGACATTGGACACAATTCTGGTTTTAAGTCGAGGACTGCCTGTACTAGTTGTGTTTACAATCTACTCTAGGCTCTGTCCTCAAAGCCATACATTTTCAGCTCAGCTAACTTCATGTCACATTTTTTAAAAACTTAGCTGATGAAACAAGTCCTATTTCTAAGGAGTCTTTTAGTTTCTCAAATCTGCACCAAAGAAAACCTGTATACCTGCTTCCCTCCCACCTCAGGAAAGAAAACTTCAAACTCTGTTTTTTGACTAGGCTTACCATGTTTTCAAGGAATTAAATCCCATTTTCCAGGATTCTTTTGTAGGTTGGCAGGGATGCCTGATTTTGGGTGCCAAACCAGGACAATCCTGCCAAACCAAGGCAATAATCAGGCTTAAGCCATTCTATCTGTATCTCAGTTTATTGCCTTTGCTTTAATTGCATAGCTCCATTGTCAAGTCTGAATCACAACAAGATGATTATTATTTTAACAGCTGGCTCTCGCCTACAGAAGAAAACGGAGCAAGCATCGGTCTGAAAACTTGGGAAAGCTTTGTCTAATATCCATCAACGGAACCAAGAAACTGTTAGGAAGGCGGTGTGGGTGTATAAGCCGTTATCGTCGTCGTTGCCAGAAATGTTGTAAGCTGGCTTTGTAGTGAAGACAAGGCTGTGACTCAAGATTGCTTATAATAATATGAGCAGGATTAAACAGAATCTAGCAGATTTCCCATCTGCTAGGCAAACAGATTCCCCCAGACTAGAGCTGTCTCTCACTTTTTGTTCTAATACTTAGTTTCCTAGTACTGTAGGTTTTTCTCCCCTGTCCTGCAACATGATATTTAGGTCCGAAAGTTTCATCTTTTTAAAAATATAGTGATGAATCCATTAGAAAAATAAATATAGAACAAATGTTTAGTGAAAACAAGAGGAAAATAGCCTGAAAGCAGGACATTTGGAAGTGTCTGTAGACTCTCCCTTTTAATATTCTTGTTTGATCTTTGTGGTTCATAACTTTTTGTTTTAAAAAACAAAGAAACACAAAAAGCATTTTGAACTGCAGCTTCTTTTTGCTTTCTCTGAGAAAGTAGGTAAGACATTGTTCTTTGGTCTATGTTCTGTTTGCAGAGCTCAGGCTAACCTCAGATTTTAAGTAACCCTTGATTTACAACCATAATTGAATCTGGAATTACGGTTGTAAGTCAATGTGGATATTAAGTAGGTCATCATGTGACTGGACACACCTTTACATATTTTGCAGTGGCTGTTAAGCAAATACCGTGTTTAACCAAATGCAATCAAATCCATTATACCCAATGGGCATTTTTATTGGAAACTGGAAATAAATACTGGAAAATTGCAAAAAATGTCAAAAATTGTGATTATGTGACCATGGGATGCTGCAAATAGCAGTAATAATAATAATAATAATAATAATTTTATTTCTATACCGCCCTTCTCCCGAAGGACTCAGGGCGGTGTACAGCCTATTTAAAAACACAAAAAACACGACAACAATTTAAAATTTAAAATCATTAAATAATTAGGCTCCAATTAAAATCCCAGAAATTTAAAATACCCCAATTTAAAACGTTATGTTAGTAACCCTGCCTGGCGGAACAGTAAATGTAAGCTGCTTGCTAAGCACCCAAAGTGCAATCACATGACTGCATGTGTTTTGAATCAAGTGTTGTAACTTCAAAATTGGGTGGTAAGAACCTTATGGGCATCTTTCATAAATCTGAATGATTGCTAAGCGACCCATTATAAATAGAGGACTAGTTTTCAGCTCAGCTCAGCCTATTTGGTCCCTAAACTGTCAATATTAGGGTTTATTGTTTTTTAAAAGCTTTAGTTCACCGTTTGTATTATATTTTCTAATGGAAATTTTATTTCAGCCCTATTCTGTATAACTTTTATCTGGATCTTCCTAGATATTTGACTGACTTTTTCCAATGTCCATTGCTATCAATTTCTCCAAATTTGTTAAGAATTAGCAAACTTAAATTTTAATAAAAATTGCTAATTGTGCCTGCTATAACTATTACATATGGCCACTTCATTTCATGGTTATTATTACTTTTCTGATGCAAATTAAGTTTATTGGATCTGAGAAGCAATATGAATTTGGCAAAAGGCAAAAGTGTGATTTGGAAAGTGCATGGGTGCATATGTAGCATAAAGATTTTATCCTGCTTTTAATTATTGTACTTTATAAGTAACTTAAGGTAGTGAACATACACAATACTCCTTCTATTTCCCTAAAGAAAGCAACCCTGTGAGGTGGGTTGGGCTGTGAGGGAGGGACTGACCCAAAGTAACCCAGTTGGTTTTTCACGCCTCAGGCAGAACTAGAATTCAGTTTCCCGGCACCTTAACCCCAATATCAAACTGGTACTCATATTGGGAATACTTTATCAAACACATCTTTTCTTGAATTGTGTGGTTAGTTGCACAAGCCCAGGAAAATACCAAGTTATATTAAGGTTATGTACATACCTACTCATACACTGAATCACATTTTGCCTTTTGAATCTGTATAAATTCTATAGTTTATCAAGATGTTGTAAATTGTGCAGGTAAAACCTTGCTTTGAATTATGCTTTTGCTTTTCCTCCATCTGAATTTCACTTGTGCACAATTGTATTGGGCAGATTTTAATGGAAAAATATTTCTATGGTGAATAGTCAACACCAACTGCATGGTACATAGCGAATCACTTCAGTTTCGTCTGTAATATTTTTGTGCCACAACTTGTTTGTCATAGATGGGAATGTGGTTTTTTTTGCTTTGAATTTTGAAATAAATTTTCGAAATTGTGTATTTTTGTATTTATCCCAAGTCATTTTCTTTTGCACTCATATTATCTTGGTTGCAGGAAGAATTAGAAAGCTAATATTCAGAGATCCACTTACTTATTCTTTGCATTTATGAATAAATAAAATGGCTTTATCAAGGCAAATTACTGTACATGGGAGATTTCCCAGGTTTTTTTTCTCATAAAAGCAATCTTGTGAGATAGCTGGACTGAAAGACAATCCTCAAAAACCATTCATTGATCTCTTCAGTTAGCTGTGACTGTAACACTAAATGTAACTGAAAGCCAACACTGTAAAAACTTTTTCCCCTATATAAATTCCTATTTTCCATAGGACAGGACAAGGCTCTTGGTGCTCCTCTCCAACAACTAAGAATCAGAAGCAGAGCTTGAAGTCTTATCTTTTACTGAAAATTGGAAAGCTCTTCTCATAAAAGAACAAGTTGACAAAGACTTGATGGCATGTAATCAATTTTAAAAAATCATTAGTTAAGCATTAAGACATTAGATCTAGTTTTATACCCTTCTTGGATAAGTGAGGCTATATCATACTTATATTTTCAGTCTTGTAATCAATCAATTTTCTGAACATGCTATTAAATGTATCAATATTCAGACAAATATAAAGTACTTGTATCAATTTCCAAAACTGACATTTGGACAAAAGCCAGAGCTGAAGAACTGTGATGGCACAATGGTTAGAATGAAGTATTGCAGGCTAACTCTGACCACTGCCAGCAGTTCGATCCAGATTGGCTCAAGATTGACTTAGCCTTTCATCCTTCACAGGTCGGTAAAATGAGGACCCAGACTGTGGGGGCAAGAGGCTGACACTGTAAACTGCTTAGAGAGGGCTGTAAAGCACTGTGAAGCAGTATATAAGTGTAAATGTTATTGCTTGGTGAACATAAGCTTAGATTTCTGTAGCAGCAATTCAACAAATTAAAAAGAAATGCTGAACTCATTTTTTATTATGCCAAGAAAACAGCACGGAGGTTTCTGCTAGTCAACAGGATTCAAGTTTAACCTCATGACAGATTTATACAGTACAGCCCAATTCAATTAATTTAATTTCTTTGAAATGTTTGTTCTTTAGTATTTGTTTAGTCTCTGTATTGAACTTCTTCTCCAGGCAGTTTTCTGTTTTCAATTAATTTGTTTTTTCATTGAGGTCTTGTTGTTTTTACAGTAATGATATTCTCAATTTTTCTCTACACCACAATCTGTGGTTTATTTGGAAAATAGCGTTTACTTGGGCAGTATTCCAACATCTGAAAAAGAGTTGTGGTTGTAAATTGAGGATTACCTGTATTTGCTTTTGCTGATGATATTTTGGATTAAGTGCCTTTCCTGTTCTATTTTCTGAGCTTTTACTATTTCTATTTATTCCTTTGAGTTTGTTTTTATTGTCATAGAATAAATTTAAAAAAAAACTGGAATTGGAAGGGACCAGAAAGACCATCAACCCTGAGATCATTGGGGTGAAAGAGATTCACCAGCCTAAGTCAACAAGCAACTTTTAAGAGATAAAGATGGTCTCAAGCTCAAGATCTTCCTGCTTCTAGCCAATAACCTTAACCTCCACTCCACAGCTGTTCATTTAATGACTTGCCTCTAGGCTATGTTACAGTTCCTAATAGAGCCATTTCTTTTTAATCTTAAAATAATGATTTGAAAATAATACATTGTGTATCTAAGAGCAAAGGGCACTCCAGCAATCTGTTGTGTAACTAGTAAAACACCTTCATCTCTAATACAGAATGCCTTTTCCACTGAACCATGAAAGATAACAATTTCCTTGTCCCAAAGGCGCTTTTTCCAAAAGGCAATTGGACTTTCTTAGTTTTTTTTCTTTGAAAACCTTTTGCTTCTCAGGGTTATGACTGATTCTGAGTGCTAATGACCAAATGACTGCAAAGAATATAAATCCATTCCCCGGCAGTCAGTTAGAACTGAAGAAGCTTCTTAAATGAGAAGTGAAACATTTTCAAGAAAAAAAGCAAGAAAGTCCAGTTGCCTTTTGGATGTGACCCAACTGAAGTTCCCAAGACCTGCTCTTTCCATGCTCCAAAATGGTGGGCACCTTTGGGACCACCATGACCTGGATGATTCAGAATCTCTATAGACATTCTCAGTTCTCTTGGTTTTCTTCTCTGGGGCTTTAAGGCAATCTGAAAAGCATTGTACCATATCTGGACTTCAATTATAAAAGGAAAGCACCCAGAGTAGGTAGGTTGGGAGTAAAATTTGTACTGTGTAGGAGAGCAAAAACAAGAATTTGCAGTTGAGGGAGATAAGTAATTATCAGCTCAAACAGCAACCAATAGTAAGGGAGGATCAGACAAACTGAAAACAGCACAGAACCTCACTCAGAAGTCCCAGCCAACTTCCTTCCTTTTCTATCCCAGCAGAGACTGAGACTGCCAAGCCAATGCTTGGTGTCAATCTGAACAGTAGTTGAGAAAGCAAACAGATGGTGAGTTTTAGTCCCGTCTTAGACATGAAAATCAGCTGGATAACTTTGGGCCAATCACCAGGAGACAGTGAGTTCCAGTTCCACCTTCAGCACAAAAGCCAACTAGGTGTTTTGGGGCCTATCCCAAAGGTGCTTTTATTCAAGAGGCAACTGGACTTTTTGTTTTTTCTTTGAAGACATTTCACTTCTCATCCAAGAAGCTTCTTCAGCTCTGACTGGATGGTGAGGAATGGAAGGATTTATACTCCTTGCAGACAGCTGGTCATTTACATCCTTTGAGAGAATCATTAAGGCCATTTGGAGGTTTATCTGTGTCATCAGGATCACCTGAGTGGTGCAAATTGGTGTGGAGCCTTCTTGGAACTACTGAAAGGACTGTGTTGTAGACTAGAGATAGATGATGTCCTATCTCTCCCCCTCTGTTGAGGGTTCTCCAAGTCAAGGACTCTCTAAAAGAATGCAAATGACCAGCTGTCTGCAAGGAATAAATCCTTCCATTCCCCACCATCCAGTCAAGAGCCGAAGAAGCTTCTTGGATGAGAAGCGAAACGTCTTCAAAGAAAAAACAGAAAGTCCAGTTGCCTCTTGAAAAAAAACACCTTTGGGACAACCATGACCTGGATGACTGAGAATCTCCATAGACATTTTGGGCCTAACACTTCAGAGGGTTGTTGTTGCGGGGAAAATAGGAGGAAGAAGTAAAAAGGCATGTTTACTGCCCTGAGTTACTTGATGAAGTAATAAAGGCAGGACAGATATCTAATATATAAATAAACCAAGAATGGATTCTTTGGGAATAAGATAAACGTAAATACTGGTATGACTTTAAGGTAAAATAACATAGTGTTAGTAACAAATGATTAAGGTAAGAAATCAGATTGTTAATTTTATATAATAAAAGCCTCGCTGCAAACAGAAGAGACAAAAAAAGTCTAATCCCCCCACTCACATAAATGACCTTAACGAAGGTTCCAAGATCTGCTGCAATATGGTGGGTAAATTGAGTTCTCCGGAAAGCGCCCCCTTTCCACACCACGAAAGCATTGGCAGCATTTTTGTGAGGTAACCAACCCCGCTAAATGCCTTGAGGTCATTATTCTGAGGGCTCATGATACTTCCTCAGCCCCTGAGGGGAGCTTTTCCCGGACTCCTTGCGTTTCTCTCAGGAGCTTATCCCCTCAGGACCACCAGCGGGTGCAGTTTTTCGCCTCTCCTGCCATGGCCCAAGCTGAGAGGCCATATCTGGCCGGGCTCGCTCCATCTCCTCAGAAGAATCGATGAGGCGAAGCGCGCTTGGCGGGAAAAACCAACAGGAGCGCGCCAATTTTGTTTTCCCTCAGACCTACAGCCGCCAACACGCAGGCGCCGAGGGGCGGGCTCAGAAAGGCGGCAAGGGCGGCCGCTGATGGGTTGGCGGCCATGTCACTCATCGTTGTACAGCTACACCTCTGAAGGGCATTCCTTCCCGGGCGGGAAAACGGCGGGCGCGGTTGATTCGCCCGGCTCGTTTTGGCGGGAAACCCTCAGGGACTCTTGTGGGAAAGGAACCAAGATTTTTTAAATCGACTATTTCGTTAAGGGACTGGTTGAAATCCACGTGTTAAGTCAGTGTTTCTCAGCCTTGACAATTTCGTGACAGTTAGAACAATTATTCAGTGGAACAACCTGCCTCAAGGAGTTGTGGGTGGTCCAACATTGGAAGTTTTTAACAAGAGATTGGACAATTGTCTGAAATAGTATAGGGTTTCCTGCCTGAGCAGTGGGACCTCCAAGGTCCCTTCACACTGTTATTCTATTCTATTCTATTCTATTCTATTCTATTCTATTCTATTCTATTCTATTCTATTCAGACAGGTGGACTTCAGCTCCCAGAATTCCCCAGTCAGCATGGCTGATTGGGGAATTCTGGGAGTTGAAGTCTACCTGTCTTAAAGTTTGTGGAACACTGCATTAAACACACACAGGTTTGGGCTTTGGGAAAATGACCAAGACCAAACTGTCAGACAAAATGCCTTCATAGATCCAATCCAATCCAATCCTTAATTGGCCAAGTGTGATTGGACACACAAGGAATTTGTCTTTGGTGCATTTTCTCTCGGTGTACATAAAAAGAAAAGATAAATTCGTTAAGAATCATAAGGTACAACACTTAATGATAGTCATAGCGTACAAATAAGCAATCAAATCTTACTAGGAAACAATATAAATCGTAAGGATACAGCAATAAGCTACAGTTATACAGTCATAAGTGGGAGGAGATGGGTGATAGGAACAAGGAGAAAATTAATAGTAGTGCAGACTTAGTAACTAGTTTGACAGTGTTGACGGAATTATTTGTTTAGCAGAGTGATGGTGTTTGGGGAAAAAACTGTTCTTGTGTCTGGTTGTTCTGATGTGCAGTGCTCTATAGCGGCGTTTTAAGGGTAGAAGTTGAAACAATTTATGTCCAGGATGTGAGGGGTTGTGCAAATTGTGCAATCCAGACCTGGGGTCATTTCAGTATCAGTTGGCCACATCCTTCATTAAGTGATATAAAGCTGACCCTTGGTTGCTATTATTTCTGGCTTTTTGCAAACCTCAAAATGTTCTGATCTTCTCTGGGAAATCTTTTTGGAAAATGTCACTTCCTATTTATCTGGCTTTCCAACACCAATGTGCAAGGAACTAAACTGACTTAGAAACCCACTGGAGTCCCTTTAATATTTGTAAAATTAAACAGAATAATAGAGTTAGAAGGGACCCTAGAGGTCTTCTAGTCTAACCCCCTGCTCAAGTAGGAAATCGAAAACCCTTTCAGACAAATGGTTGTCCAATCTCTTAAATTGATTATTCTCACTGTCAGGAAATTTCTCCTTCATTCTAGGTTGCTTCTCTCCTTGATTAGTTTCTATCCGTTGCTTCTTGTCCTGCCTTCAGGTGCTTTGGAGAATTGGTGGACCCTCTTTTTATGGTAACCCTTTAGATATTGGAAGATTGCTATCATGTCTCCCCTAATCTTTCTTTTCATTAAACTAGAC